CAACAAATGAGTAAGTTTTTTAGTAAAACTACAAATGTTTTCAGTCTTCCATATCATAATTCGAATGATGTAAGAATTGCTGATACAACAACGATGTTATCGATGTATCTCGGATCATTTACTGGTGGACAATTCGATCAACAAGCAGTGAGTTTTCTGACCTATTTTTGTTGATGGTTATTAACAATTTGAGTCAAAAAACGGTTTCTTTTACGATGCAAAAAGATGTTTATAACTCTAAGTCTTACCGTTCGGAAGATCCTGTGATGCGTGCCAATATCTTGTAATAGAATATATACGTCCTCTGTTCTCTCTTACAGCAGACAATTTTTGGTCAAGGTGTAGGTTCATCGATCTCTATTCATCAAGGTAATTTGATCACAGTACAAGTAAGTTCAAATATTCTATATTGATGAGTTGTATTCACACATACCATCCTTTAGACTGATGTTATTGTGGTATGTCGATCATCAAGGACTTTGCGTGAAAGCATTCTCAAAGCTGGTGGAGATTTGATGAAGAATTCATTTGACGCTGAATTCACTAAAGATTCGACTGTTCCTGTCATCAGTATAGCAGCTAGCGGTCAAATCTCAGCGAAAAAAGTTTATTTTCTGGCATGGCAACCTCCTGCCCATATCAGCATGTTTCGTCAATCAATTAATATATTCATCTTTAATGCTATGAGTAAAGCAGCCAGTGAAAACTATCAAAGTATTACATTTCCCGCTATTGGTTCCAGTGGATATGGATGTTCAATCAGTCTGGTAGCTCAGACAATGATCGAGGAAGTCCATCATCAACTGATGACATATCCCATGCCCGTGTCGCTTGTAATACAATCAGACCGAACGGATGTTTACGATGCATTTCAAAAACATATCAGTTCAATTCAATCGCTTTCAAAGACAAAAGCCATTTCGATGAGAATCGGAAAAGGAATAGTGGAAGTTCAAATGGGAGATATTACAACGCAAAAGGTAAGTACTCAAAGACGTATCTTCATCAATGTCAAGCATATTTTCCTCTCGAAAGGTTGATGTAATCATTGGGAGTTCTTCATCAAGAATCTTGAAAAGATCCATCTTGAACGCAGCGGGTCCAGACATCCAAACGGCACATATAGAACAATGCAAAAAGGATCCAAATTCACTTATAATTTCACTTCCATCAGGTCAACTCCCTTGCAAACAAATATTTTTTGTCAAATGGCAACCAGATTCAAATGAAGAACTTCTCCGACAATCTCTCGTCGATTTTATTTGGACTGTGATTCAAAATATTATTTGCTATAAGTTTACTTCCGTGGCATTTCCAGCTATTGGATGTGGAAAGCATGGATGTCCTCTGGATCTCGTAGTCAAGACGATGAAAAAGGAAATCAAAAATCAACTGAAAATGAGAATTATCCCATTAACAGTAAGATTTGTCATTCAACCTGAACGGCAAAATCTCTATGAGGAATTTTCTAAACAAGTTTTGTCTGCACAAGAAGGTATAAAACAGACTTTTCTATAGGAGAAAAATGTTTTTTTTTATATTATTTCAACAGATTCGAAACCATTAATCAATCATCAATTACCTTCAACCTGGGTGCAATCTACCGAGAATAAATTACATTTTCTAGTGCTTTATTATACTCATGAATATAAATCAATTGTCAATAATTTTGATCAGACAATGAAAGGAAAATATACTTCAATTATCCAAATCGAACGAATTCAAAATGAGCGATGGTTTTTGCAATACCTAGCACATAGTCAAGAATTCCACAAACGACTAAATACAGATACTGAAAGACGTTTGTATCATGGATGTCCTCAATTCGTAACGAATCTAATTATTGAAGATTGTTTTAATCGAAGTTTTGCTGGAGCACATGGTAAGTGATTTGAACTGTGATCTGTTCTACAGTTTCTCTACTCTTGATTAGGGACATCATACGGTATTGGTGTGTATTTTTCATCGAATGCAGCTTATAGCAATAAATTTGCTGAAGCCAATTCGAATGGAGAACGATGTATGTTCGTAGCTCGTGTGTTGATAGGAAAGACAATTCAAGGAAATCGTTCAGTAAAAAGTCGACCGGTTGGATTCGATTCGACAACAGACGGAGACCATATTTTCGTCATTTATCATGATGCACAAGCATATGCCGAATACTTAATTATCTACAAATAGAACTCATATTTATTGAATAACTACTTTTTTTTAATTGATAATAAACTCGATTGTTTCCGAATATTCTGTAAATAAACAATTAATTGGAGAGTTTTTCTAACGTGCATGTATCACTTTAGATCACAAAAAGCATTTTATTAGTTGGTGAATAGAAAGCGAGTACAATGCAAATATTTATCGAAGAAGTTTTGATCAATTTTTCTAGTTTACAGTATTTAAGATGAAGTCATCAGTTGAGATAGTCCACTTGAGGATAATTCTCTTGAGAAGATTTTCAGTTCATTGATCTTTCCGCGAAATCAAGAGAGACTATTTTGCGTTTGGTTAATAGAACATATAGTCGGCTGAAGACAAGTTCTAATAGTGATTGTGCTCATTTCGTCATTGCCTACATAGTCGATAGATGCATTATTATTATTATTATTATTCAGTACTCCGTCGACAAATAATCGGATGCCATTCAGAGTAGAATAAGTCATATCCAGATGAGTCCATTGATTCAATGATAACAATTGCGAGGTCCATGATGTTGCATAAATACCGTTGTTACCTAACGTTTGAATTGTTAAGTGACCATTGCAATCGAAACCAATCATGGACACACACCAACCATTTCCAGAATCCACCTAAATCATCACACTACAATGAACAACTTTCTCATCATTTGAAGAGATCTTACCTGAATAATGGTGCCATTATTCATCAGGGTGTGTGTGGGTGGGTGCGTGGATGTGGCTATCACTGAAGAAAAGAACAATACTCACACCCACACCTTCATCTTGATGGTGTGGGGTGTGGGTGGGTGCGGATTAATTAGGTCAACAAACCTCCATCCACATCACACCCCCACACCCACACCCTTTTTCCGCAAATTTGTTGAAAAACTAGATAGAAGCTATCAGTAAAATGAATATAACTCCTGAGTTGTAAAAGATACAGACCTGGGGTTGGTGTAGGATTGTAGATCTCGATCTAAGCTATCGATTTCACTGTTAGGAAATCAAAACTGAACATACTTTCAGAGAATGCGAGCCTCAACAAGTTTGAGTTTGAACATTACCAGGATAAACTGTATCTGATGGCCTGATTTTTCCATAATGTTACGTGTCATGTCAGGCTCTATCGCCTTCCCTTCAAAAGTTATAAGCATTTTACCCACTAGCCTTTTTTTTAAATTCCGATTATAGTCAATAAATTCTTCACAAAAACAAAAGATTTTCTTTTTTTTCTTCTTTTACCATCTTGAAAATAGTGTACTCAATAGAGACAGCCTATATTCAGGGCCTGCGCGAAAGTTCCAGGATTGGAGAGGTGTAAGGGTCCTGAGGTAACCAAGATTGAGGAAAGCAAGTTTTTTTCCCATCAGATCTAACATTAATCTTTCTCGTGCAACCTGAAATGCAACAATTTTTCGCGGAGCGAAAATTTTTTGCAACCTTCTTAAAAAATTCGACTTTCTCTGGCAAATTTTCAAGAAGACAACCAGTGTCCAATGTAAGAAAATTCCTCAATACTCCTGCCGCCGAAGCCGGCCACGCTGGCGACGATTGTTCTCGACTAGACTGTTTTGAAGGAAAAAATTGACCAAAGTTAGAAGTTTTTCTAAGTTAACGGCAGTTACGCAACCGTTATTTTTCGCGAAACGAAAACCTTTCTCACGTCAGACTTATGAAAAACTCTTCTTTTCCTCATTGTTCTCGAAACAAAAAAAAGTGTTGCTATAGCTGTTAGCAATCTCGCCGCCGAAGGCGGCCACACTAGCGACGACTACTCCTAAATAAAGCTGTTCAGAAGGTAGGAAGTAGTAAAATATGCCATAAAAACAGAAAGACCATAGTTATTTTCAAGCCGAGTATGTCCATGCGGCTATTTCTTCGTGAAGCGAAAAATTTTAATGTCTCAGAATTTTGTAGCAAAAACCATTATTTAAGCCGGAATTTCGAGTAAAAAAACAGCTGATTTCTTCAGCTTGCCATAGAACTTCATGTGCTTTCTGACGATATGTCAATGATAGTTTCCTATTATTCTAGAAAGATCATTTCCTGCCTCTCCTTTTCGCTTAGGAGACTTCTGAGAGATGTTTGTGAAAATATCTTATAGAGATACTTTATAGATTCAAAAAAAATATTATCCATTTTGATGGCTAATAATAAATAATTTTCAACTATTGGAGAGGTGTACACCCCCTCCTACACTCCCCACTTTCGCGGGTCCTGCCTATATCTGAATAAGAATAACAAACTGTTCATCATATTGCAATACATCCTCACACCTTCACCCTCATCCATTGTCACTAGCTCTCAAGACTAGATTTTCAAAAACGAATTTCACCTATCGATAGAGAAATAATTGCTCTACCTGATTTGTAAAGAAAATTTTTCAAAATAGTGAAAAATAAAATAGATACAGACATTACAAAAGAGGCGATCAATTTTTTTACGCATTCACTTCTTCTTACTCTAAATATTTTATATTACTTTGATAGAGATGAGGAAGACATTTGAATTCAATATTTCAGTTCATTAGAGACTATGTCGAAAAGTTTTATCATAGTTTCTATAGAAACAAAACATGGGATTATTCTCATTTGCGTTTTATTTAAAATGACACAATAAAAATCAATTATAAAATAAATAAAAGTATATTTATTGGCATATTAATACATAATAATAATAATAGAAATAGAAATCATTATAATTAAGTAACATTCCTTTAATCCTTTCAAAAAATTCTTGTCTCCAAGACTTTATCAAGCAGGAAAAAAGTGTAACATAAACATAATAGTTAGTTAATTTTTTTCTATAATAATATACGTTAAATTATTTAATTAAAGTTGGAGAATTAAAGGGTACAATTCGTGTTATATGTTTGATTTGAAAAATATTTTCATTTATTTTTTTCCATATATCAAGAAATTCTTTACGAAATGTTCTTGATATAATTATATTAAGAATAAATGTCATTGAAAAATAAAAATAAATTATTTCAGTATTAATTAAAAACGAGAAAAAATTGTCAATTGTAATACGATCATTGTTGCGTATTAAAGATGATGTTATACGAATATATGTTAAACTAATTGGAACAGGTACGTGAAAAATTGTATAAAATAATACTTGTGATAATAACATCCAAATAAGTTGTTTATCACGAATACGAAGTTCACGTGCAAGACGAATTCTTTGACTACGAAGACGATAAATAAGTATAAATGAAAATATACTCATTAAACCACTTGGTAAAATAACAACAAATATATATTGATATATAATATCATAAATATTTAACCAATAAACATCTGAATAACATATACGTAAAGGTAAATGAAGATTATTTGATATAAGAACATGAATTGGTAGAATAAATGAAAATAATTTTAGAATTCTAATAATTCGTATTGCCATTTTAACATTACATAAAGATCGTGTTGTTGCATTTAATGAACATAATAATAGTCTATCAAGTGAAGCTAAAACAATTAATGAACGTGTAAATAAACCAGAACTATATGTTAAATAAACCCGTAATTGACAATACCAAAATGTTGTAAGAATAGAAGTTGAAGATACTGTAATCAGATATGGTCATTGGCCAGTTATAACTAAAGTTATACTTGATATTGATGCTATTAAGAAATACATTCCACAAGATGCTTTTCTTAAAGTTGATCGAGAAAATACAAGTACATTAAATATTCCACCAATGATTCCAACTATAATAAGTCCAATTCCAAGTGCTAAATTAAGAGTTGCTGTAAGAGAACCAAGTTCTTCGCTTAATGATGTTGACATCTTTCTTCTAGAATGAATTTTCTTAAATGAAAATATAGAAATATGTTTTTGATAAAATAATCATTTTTTTTTGTCATTTTGCTAAAAGACAATCTCTGTAATTGTTCGATGTCATATCCAGAAAGCTAAAAACAAAAAAAAAACAAATGATTAATTGAAGGCAAATAAGAAAACGTCGAGGAATGCAATTACTGCAGAAGATACGACATCCTGCAGTATAAAGAATAGGATCTACCTTGAAAGTTAGTTATTTATTTGAATCATTTAGATATGACATATGTAATGTTTTCAGATAAAATTTTCTCAACATCGTCAGAAACTTTCTAGACAGTTGTGAAAAAGCAGTTAGCCGAATTTGTGTAGGATTAAAGTGTGAACCACCATGCAGCTACAAACATTGTAAATTCATGATCACTATCTACTATTATTGTGTGTCAGCGATGAAAGATGTTAATCTTAATATATAATACTGAGTATAAACGAAGAGCAAAATATATGCATCCTAAATACAGTTGACTTTCAAAGCTTCTAAATTATTAACCTTCAGCTTACATGATCAACGTGGGATGGTGTATAACATAATAATAATAAGTAAAAAATCCTCACATCGACTTTAGTGAATAGAATCAAATATATTCGTTACTCGCTATGCATTAAGATGTGTTGAGTAATGTCCTGGATACATTAGAAGATTCTCTATAAAAATTGCTTCTTTAAAATAATTTTGCGCAATTTGTTGAGATTTTTCAGCTTTTATGTATATATTAATATCTAACGAGGGAACCGTTCCAACTGATAAATCGCTTTTTTAATGAAAGCTGGTGGGTTATAGGTTATCGACTATGCTGATTCCGAATATGAGTATGAGGAGTGCCCTTAGGCCTTCATAGGGTGGGTTTCTAGAAAACCAGGTCTTCAGAAAACTAATTTAAATGAAATTTTTGTTTTTGATCTGCTCAGATTATAGAGCACATTGAGTTGCCTATAAATCAATAGTTTTTCCTGCTTTGCATGGATTGTCTTGAATAAACAACATTAAACTTTCCTATTTGTACAGTGAAATGCTAGTAATATGCATCTACTATGTGAATTCCATTGACTGTATGTCATCGTAAAATCTATTTGAAACAAAAGAAAATATCGATTAATAGACAACTTGATGTGCTTTATAACCTGAGCAGGTCAAAAACAAAAATTTAGTTTAAAGTTGGTTTTCTAGAAAACCATCCTATAATGACCTAAGGGCACTCCTCATACTCATATTCGAAATCAGCATAGTCGATAACCTATAACCCACCAGCTTTCATTAAAAAAGCGATTTATCAGTTGGAACGGTTCCCTCGTAAGTTCAATATGGAGAATATGTTGTTGAGGTCGTCGTCTTACCGATGTGTCAGTTCCGAACTGAGCATCTCATGAAAAAAAGCTAATAAGACAGAGCAGTTAATTAAAAAATGCGTTTCTTATTAAAGAAAAAGTCTTGGAATCATTTTACTACTAAAGGTCTTTATAAAGAAAATTAGAGACAAGAAATACTTCGAATTATACAAAACAGAAAAGATAAAACTGATTCGTGAAAAGGAAATCTTTCGTCTTGTATCGTACATTCCGGCATGTCATTACAATAACATTTTGATTAAATATTTTCAAGCTTCTACTCTATCACTATGTCCGTGCTTGTTATCATGCCGACATTCATTATTTAATAGTTGACTGAAAAACAATAGACGTCCAGTATATGTATATTGTTAACCGCACCAGGTTATATATATGATGATGATACTTTTTACATAGTATTTTACCTCACGAAACGAACAACAACAGACAGAATGGATCGATTACCGTGCAAATTATTACATCACATACTTTGGTACATTGATCAGCCGTGAGATATTTTTCGGATGTCATGTGTCTGTAATTGTTGGCAATCTTGAATTATGAACGATGAATAGTTTCTCAATCAATGGTTTTCTCGATCGCTAAAACGTTCACGAACATCATTTTTCGCTTTGAGCATGAGTTACTTCGAGTATTGGATACACAAGTCAATATCAGATATCGATCGATCATTATTTCCTATCAATCTTCGAACAAGCAAATGTTGGTTTCAATCTTGGAATGTTACAAGGCGACCATCTGGTTATCAACATCTCGTTGAGCATATTTTTTCTTCATTCTTCTGTAACTCATCTCATTCGTTCTCCTTCTGACTTTTCTTACCTCGTCAATATGTATTAAACATATACATTGGAAATAAAAATGACCACGGTCTAAATATTTTGCTTTGTGGTGATGAAAAATATCAATTGTACAATGAAAAAGACGTCTCGATTGCTGATCGATGGGTTCATTTTATCTTGATGAAAATTGATTCACAATCAAAATTATCAAATATGGACCGATGGACAATGTGTTTTAAAACTTCATCAATATCGTACGACTTTTAGTGAGTTGAGGCACTATTTTGATTTGGATGTGGGTGTGTGTGGCTCTTGTCTTCTTTGACAACCACACCCCACCCACACACCCAACAAAATTCAAAATGACAAGAGAGCGAGAAAGAGACGAGAAAAAACTCCTGCATTCTGAAAGGTTTTTTGTAAACTGAATAATCGTTCTAGTTCTTCCACTTTAACATTAGCAGGTACTTAGGTTTTCAATTTCCGTGTCAAGAAGAGTAGTCCTTTGGCTTGTTCCTTGTTTTTATTTCTTGTAAGATAGCAATCGATTGTTTGGTGTTGTTCCAGCCCATCCATATATATTATCTGAGGGTTTGCTTGTGTGGGCGTGTAGTTGAGTTTGTGAGTGTTGGTAAGCGGAATGTGCGCATACGTGTGAATATCGATGTGGTAAACGTTGATTTTTACTAATAGAAGCACTTTCGAGCCACTGTCTACACTCACACTTCACAGGGTGTGGGTGTGGGTGTATGTTTCTTCCTCACCCACACCCACACTCACCAACATCCACACCCACACCCTAGAGGTACCAGAAAATAGTTAAACTACTCACGTATCACCCGCTAGTAAGAGGTAAGTGGTACCTAATTATCAGCGATCAATAACTAGGAACTGTAGTACATATTAATGACTAAGATATTTCACAACTTTGTTGTTTCCTCGAGTAAGAAATCTAAGAACAGGTTATATACGAATGTTTTTAGCAGATTAATTATCTGTCAATAAATGAATTCTATTTGAGTCTTTCTTTTTGAAATAAAATCATCGATCAAATCGCGGATCCTCTTTGATGATTAAATTATTAGAACGTTTTGTACTATGTGTGACATGGACGTTAGTTGTCTTTCAGTTCCTTGCAAAGAACGTACAACTGTTTTAATCGTACCCACAGTACGTATTAAACAAATAGTATGAGTATTCAATCATCATCATTAAACATGGACGATATAGTACCCATAGAGACGTGTTCAATCAATTTTATTTTAGTAATAATAATGGTAAAATTCGAAAGGTCATCGAATGATTTGAGAGTCTTATCCCTCGTTTATAAAGATGAAGAGATGAGATGTTTAGTTCAAACGTCATGACAATAAAATGTGTCTTCTGTTATTCTTCAAGTTTTTCTTCGAAACAGAACCTATCTGTTTCTGGAAAACATTTGTGGTATCAAAGTGTTCCTTCTACATCGTGGGCTGCTGTGTGAAACTCGATTAATCTTCGAAATGCTTTTCTGTAAGTCAATGCTTCACCAAATGAACCAAATCACAGATACAAAATAAATTTGTTTCAAATCTTGTGGAATTGAATTACTAGCATCTTACTTCAGTATTATTTGTAAAGGAGAGATCCTCGAACAACCAATAAATGATAGAAAAAAATCAGAAGACTTCGGAATGTGAGTTAGAATGTTAGCTTGCCTTTTTCTTTATTGGAAAAACACGAAGTATATATAGGAAGGGAAAATTGGACTAGGCAGGGAAGAAGTGGAGTTTCTTCGTCTGATTGAAAATGAACAACAAGTAGAGTTACAACAAAAGACGTCAGTGAAGAAGAATAGGTCAGACGGGTAAGAACATATAGTAACAACTGAAGAAAAAGAAATATGAAATCATCCATATATCCTAACAATGTGTCGACGATTTTTGTTGGTATTATCAAAGAATCAACAAAAAAATGATTTTTATTAATATTTTATTTATGAGAGATTAATATCGAGTCCACATGTGTTACAACAAGGTGGTTTTCCACAACACATGAGACACATAGGAGGTCGAGTGGGCTTGTGAATGAAACCGGGGCGAGTTGGTTTGGGTGTAGTTGATTTGATATTCGGTTCAGTGGTAGTTAGATTGATCTTAATCTCACAACCAGATAAACCACAACAGTTGCAACATGGAGGTCTGCTACAACAAGTTAGACAAATTTTGTCCTGATCAGTTTCATCGGAATGAACATAACTGATGATGAATATCAAGATAAAAGCAGAAAAAAAGATGACAACGCATATTGAATTTAACACTTAAAATGTGCAAATTGTCGAATGTTTGCATCGATTTTTATAGCCAGTATCATGTTAAAGGCATTTGTGTTTGTTCACATATACTACGGCTTTATACTGGTAGGTGTAACTAAAAAAAGACGCTGTATTACTCGTTCTCCCATGAAAAATTTCATATTATTATGAATACACGGGCGCACTCTTTCTAGAAACATCCATCTAAAATATTTTTTCGATTAGCACACAATCTACGTAATAATAATAATAATCAAGTTTATTACTTTGAAAATATAAGTTCTCACAATATGTCCTTTTTTATATACAACAAGGGAAAAACTACATATATATATAAGAAAATTTTAAATAAATTTTTTCGTTTTCTTTTTAGCAATTTGTTTATCACGTTCTTTTTCTAATCGAAGTCGTTCTTCAAACGAATAAAAATGGCAACGTCTATCATAAATCAAATATAAAAGGTTACTTGAGGACTTGAAACATGTGTCTTATGAGATGATAGAGCATATATTCTTAAAAATAAAAAC